CACCTGCCAACCTCCGGGAAGGGGGGGGGGGCCAGCTGTGGCGGGCGACCACACGTTCGCTCCCGAGCTCCCCCTGGAGACAGTTGCAGCTAACGACCGCACGGCAGACGACCACGCGCACACTCTTGAGCTCCCCCAGAAGGCTGCGCAGCTAGCGGCCGCGCTTCTGGAGCACACTCTTGGGTCTCTATTGGGCGAGGGGCGTCTCCGAGCGCGGGCGTCCCCACTGCTGCGCCCCCAGCTGTCGCCAGGGCACTGTCTCCAGGAGGGGGCGCGCTGTCGAGCGCCTGTCCAGCCTCCACCGCGCTGCTGCCCCAGGGGCACCGATAGGAGCGAGGAGCCACGCGAGCGCACGCCTGCCGGTCTCCAGGAGGGGGGGGCCCAGGAGGGGGACCGAGGGGACAACCAGCTGCGGCAGACGACCACGCGTTCACTCCCGATCACTCCCTGAAGACGGCTCCGGCTGACGGCCACTCCCGCTGCACACCCCGGAGGCTCAATGATGCGAGGGGCGACGCCAAGCGCGGGCGCGCCCTCTGCAGCGCCCCCGACTGTCGCCGGGGCACTGTCTCCAGGAGGGGGCGCGCACTGATGCCCCAGGGACGCTGATAGGAGCAAAGAGTCGCACGAGCTCCCGCCTGCCGGTCTTCGAGAGGGGGGGGGGGGGGCGACTAGCTGCGGCAGACGACCGCGTGGGACACACTCCTGAGGCCCCACATTGCGAAGGGCGTCTCCAAGCGCGGGCGCGCCCTCTGCAGCGCCCCCGACTGTGGCCAGGGACCTGTGTCCAGGAGGGGGTGCGCTGTCGAGCGCCTTTCCGGCCTCCACCGCACTGCTGCCCCAGGGGCGCTGATATGAAAGAGGAGCCGTAGGGGTGTCCGCCTGTCCCGTCGCACTGTCAGCCCTGTCCGCTGATCTTCGCGCCTGCCAGGATTGCCAGGATACGACTAACGGTCGCCCTTCCAGAATGCATCTCGGAGCACTGGGCAGGGGCCCCACCTCCCGCGAGGAAGGCGAAGCGACCAGAATTTCGACGAGGATCCAGCCGCGGCGAGAGCGCCCCAGGGCACGAAGTCAAAAGGCCCGACGCAGCGCAGCTCGCCTCGACCCAGCCCACGCTGCAGCACAATGTAGTCGTGGAGCCCAGCGTGGAGGTGGCCATGGAGGTCGCACTGCTCGAGACGGTACTGGTCGTGGCCGTGCTGCCTGAGGTCGCACTGCTGGTCGACTGAGACGCACGAGCGGCCACACAGCCAGGCGGCGGCGGGCGACTAGTGCGCAACGAGGGCGGGCGCGCCCTCAGAGCTGGAGCTGACGGCCTTCCACTGCTTCTTGCCCTTCCTGGGCGCGCGCCGTCGGCGTGGCCCTTCGCCGCCCGGCGCCCCCTGCCCGCGCCGCCACTGCGACCCAGGTATCGCTGCCGCAGCTGAGCCCAGTCAACGCCGAGGTCCAGCGCGTCGTTCACGGCCCGCACATCGCAGTTGTAGCTGCGGAAGGAGGACAGGAAGTTGACGCAAGTTTGCTGGTCGTGCCGTAGCGGGTCGAGCGCGCCATTGGCGCCGCGCGCGGCGCGCTGCTTGGCGAACGCGGGCCAGGCGCCTGTGAACATCGCCCCCAGGGTGACTTGAAGCCGCCTCATCGTCTTGCCGGGGGCCCCCCCGGGGGGGGCCCAACTGGACGCCGCCAACCTCAGCCTTATACAGCTGCTGTCCCGTGTCAGGGCCCACGGGTTCTGGCCACTGGCGCGCGGCGGGCATCGCCACCCAGGGCGGGGAGGGGTGGCTGATCCCTGGCGCGGCGGCTGTTGCTGCTTCTGCTGCTGCTGCGGCTGCTGGCGCGCCCGCCGCCTGTTGTCTGTCGTCTGCCAGACCCGCCAGCGCGCTCGGCGTAGCTGGGGGCCAGGTTTCGACTTGCGGGCGGCGGGGAGACTGGAAAGTCGCCGTTCGCGGGGGCCAGGCAAGGCGTCCATCCGCTGCCAGGCAGCCGCGCTGGGGTCGCGTTCCGGCCGCGCTGCCGTCGCTCCTCGGCGCTCGAGCTCGCGACATGGCCAGATAGGGAGGGCCAGGGCGAGGAGTGGCAGCCAAGGGGGCGCGGCGGCGGGCGGTTGCCTGTTCCTGTTCAGGCCCGTGCTCCAATTCCTGCGCATGCGCCACTTCCGCGCCCTCCCCGTAAGCGGCGGGCAACTCCTGCTCATCGGGCTCTTCCAGCGCCTGCTCCGCATGCTACTCTGGTTCTCCACTCGGCCCCGCTTGCCCCTGGCCCGGTTGTCTGCGCCGCCACGCGTTCTGGTCGCAGGCCTCCGGCGTCTGCCGCCGCGAGACTATCGCCAGATGTGGGGGCACAGCCGGTCGCACCAGGTGCATGCACGTTCTCCGACACTGCCCCTGTCGCCGGGACGCAAGTCGCCTTCTCTGGCGAGGCCCAAGCTTCTGGAGGGGAGGACGGAGGTTCGCCATCCACTCGGGTGGATTCACTTACAAGGAGACGAGCTGGCGGATGGCTTCGATGTCCTGCCTCTGCAGGGCTGGTCCGCGGCCCCCCATCGGGGGGTCTGCGAAGGCACCAGAGGCGGCAGCGGGCGGAGTCACAGCGGGGCGTCGCGGCGTCTCGCCCTCAACACGGCGCAACGACAGCCCCAGGCTCTCGAGGCAATGGACTCGATGCTTGCGGTCAGCCACGGGGGCGGGGGCCTCGGGGGCGTCGGTCGGAGCGTCTGCGCCGGTCGCGAAGACGCGCCCGTCTGTAGTCCGCGCGCACATCCAGGAGCCAGGCGCGCCGCACCCTCATTTCTGAGAGGGGCGTCTCCGAGCGCGGGCGTGCCCTCTGCAGCGCCCCCATCTGTAGCCTCGATACTGTCACAACGAGGGGGCGCGCGTTCGGGCGCATTTTCGGCCTCCACCGCGGTGCTGCTCCAGAGACGCCGATGGGAGTGAGGAACAGCATGGGCGTCCGCACGCCAGTCTTCAGGAGGGGGAGGGGCCGACACGCCGTGGCTGACCGAAGCCCCATCGTTCTCCCCGTCGACCCTTCCCACTCGAGGCCTGCTAGGGTTGCCACGGTTACGACTAACGCTCGCCCTTTCAGAATACGTCGGACGATCGATCGAAGCCCCAGCCGCGCGGGCGTCCGCCTGCCAGTCTCCAGGAAGGGGAGGGCGACAAGCTGCGGCAGACGACCACCTGTTCAATCTCGAGCACTTCCTGAAGACCGTTGCAGCTAACAGCCGCACTTTCCGATACACACTCCTGAGGCACGATTTTGTGAGGAACGTCTCCGAGCGAAGGCGCGCCCCCTGCAGCAACCCCGACCGTCGCCAGGGACCTGCGCCCAGGAGGGGGCGCGCTGTCGAGCGCCTTTCTGGCCTCCACCGCACTGCTGCCCCAGGGACGCCGATTGGGGCGAGCCGCACGGGAGCCCGCCTGCCAGCCTCCAGAAGGGGAAGCTGAGGCGGACGACCACGCGTTCACCCTCAAGCTCTCCATGAAGACTGTTGCAGTTAACGGCCGCACCTTCCAGCACACACTCCTGAATATCAATATTGCGAGGAACGCCTCCGAGCGCGGGCGGGCCACCTGCAGCGCCCCCAACTGTCGCCAGGGCACAGTCTCCAGGAGGGGGCGCGCTGTCGAGCGCCTCTCCGGCCTCCACCGCACTGCTGCCCCAGGGGCGCCGATGGGAGTGAGGGGCCGCACGGGCGCCCGCCTGCTGGTCTCCAGGAGGGGGGGGGGGGGGGCGACAACCTGCGGCAGACGACCACCTGTTCACTCTCGAGCACTCCCTGACGACTGTTGCAGCTACAGCCGCACTTCCCGATACACACTCCTGAGGCTCAATTTTGTGAAGAGCGTCTCCAAGCGCGGGCGCGCCCTCTGCAGCGCCCCCGACTGTCGCCAGGGCATTGTTTCCAATAGGGGGCGCCCTGTCGAGCGCCTCTCCAGCCCCCACCGCACTGCTGCCCCATGGGACGCTGATAGGAGTGAGCGGCCGCATGGGCGCCCACCCGCCGGCCTCCATCCAGGAGGGGGGGGGCGACAAACTGTGGCAGACGACCACGCGTTCACTCTCGAGCTCTCCCAGAAGCACTTTGCAGCTACAGCCGCACTTCCCGATACACACTCCTGAGTCTCTACTTTGCGAAGAAAGTCTCCGAGCGCGGGCGCGCCCTCTGCGGCGCTCCCAACTGTCGTCAGGGCACTGTCACCAGGAGAGGGCGCGCTGTCGAGCGCCTCTCCAGCCCCCACCGCACTGCTGCCCCAGGGACGCTGATAGGAGTGAGGATCACAATCTGCAGACCGATCCCTTCCCACCTGAGGCCTGCTAGGGTTGCCAGAGCCACGACTAACGGTCACCTTCTCAGAGTATGACGAACGGAAGATCGAAGCCTCAGCCGAATGGGCGTCCGCCTGCCAGTCTCCAGGAAGGGGGGGGGCGACAGGCCGCGGCAGACCACCACGCGTTCACTCTCGAGCACTCCCTGAATACTGCAGCAGCTATCGGTCGCACTGTCCGATACACACTCCCCAGGCTCAATTTTGCGAGGAACGTCTCCGAGCGCGGGCGCGCCCTCTGCAGCGCCCCCGACCGTCCCCAGGGCACTGCCCCCAAGAGGGGGCGCGGCGTCGAACGCCTTTCCGGCCTCCACAGAACTGCTGCCCCGGGGGCGCTGGCAGGAGTGAGGAGCCGCACGCGCGTCCGCCTGCCGGCCCCCTGGAAGGGGAGGGGGCGACAAGCCGGGGCAGACGACGACGCATTCAATCCCGAGCTCTCCCTGAAGGCTGTGCCGGCCGCACTTTCCGATACACACTCCTGAATCTCTGTGTTGTGAGGAAAGTCTCCCAGCGCGGGCGCGCCCTCTGCAGCGCCCCCAACTGTCGCCAGGGCACTGTCTCCAGGAGGGGGCGCCCTGTCGAGCGCCTCTCCAGCCTCCACCGCACTGCTGCCCCAGGAAGGCCGGTTGGAATGAGGAGCTGTATGAGTGCCCGCCTGACGGCCTCCGGGAGGACGGCCGTTGGGCTGGCAGTCAGGCTGGCCGCGGGGCTGGCCGTCGGGCTGGCCGTCGGGCTGGCCGTGGGGCTGATAGTCGGGCTGGCCGTGGGGCTGGCTGTCGGGCTGGCCGTGGGGCTGGCTGCCGGGCTTGTCGCGGGGCTGGCCGTTGGGCTGGCAATCGGGCTGGCCGTGGGGCTGGCCGTCGGGCTGGCCGTGGGACTGGACGTGGGGCTGGCCGCTGGGTTGTCCGTGGGGCTGGCCGCGGGGCTGGCCGCAGGGCTGGCCGCAGGGCTGGCCGACGGGCTGGCAGTCTAGCGCCGGGCCAGGCGGCCCGCCCGACACCGTCACCGCAGCGGCGGCGGCGGCCGCCGCGCGGGAGAGGGCGGCCGCCGCGGCCCACAGGCCTGCGGCAGCCGCCTCGGCGGCGGCCTCGGCGGCAGCGCCCGCGGCGCCAGCGGCACACCAGGCGCTGGCAGCGTGCGCGGCGGCGCCCGCGCGGCCCCTGGCGCACGCGGCACCGGCGGCGCCAGCGGCGCCCGCGGCGGCCGCAGCGCGCACCGCGCCAGCGGCAGGAGCAGCGGCACCAGCAGCACCAGAGGCGCCAGCAGCCGCCGCAGCGCCGGCGGCGCCAGCGGCGGCCACGGCACCGGCGGCGCCGGCGGCGACCGCGGCGCCAGCAGCGCGCACGGCAGCCACGGCGCCCTCGGCGCCAGCGGGGGCCGAGGCGCCTGCAGCGCCGGCAGCGAGCACCGCGCGCTCCCGGGCGAGCCGCCGCTGCCGCCGCCTCCGCGACGCTGGGGACTCCACGGCGGCCCGGCGGCAGCGCGTCAGGGCGGCACCGCCCACGCCGTGCCGGCCAACCTTGAGCCCCGACCCCAGGGGAAGGAACGCCCCCGGGCGATGACTTGAGCCAAAAGTTCCCTGGCTACGGACGCTAGTGGTGTTATGCTTGTTTGTTCGGCGGCCCGCAAGGAAAAGTCCAAAAGGCGTGTCAGAAGGCAATGGGGCGCAATGCCAGATAATTAGTGAAGGCCAGGCCACGACTGGAGGAAGCCGCCAAGAGGGCGCCAACCCACACACGTGCAACACGCAGAACAGGGCAGCAAGCCAGAGTGACCGACTGTCCTAACAACAGCCGACCCGACCGGCAGGGGCAGACACTGCTCAAGACAAATTCGGCAGGAAGAAGAGGCGCAATGCCAGATAATTAGGGAGGGCCAGGCCACGAACGGTAGAGGCCGCCAATAGGGCGCCAACCCACGCACGTGCAAAATGCAGAGCAGGACGACAGCGAGACCAGGCCAGAACATTAGACCGACTGTCCTAACAACAGCCGACCAGAAATAGAACCGGCAGGCGCATCCCCTGCACAAAACAAGGAAGACTTGAGGGGGGGAACAGAAGAGCGGAGCGGAAAAGAGGCGGACTCACTCACGGAGCACCCTATGCTCGTCGGCGACCCGACACAAGTCCACTTCACGGGGAGTCGACGTCACCTTCCAAGTGTCGGTCAGGTCGGTAGTGGGGTTATACGCGAAGCGTCAAGAATTCGCGCCAAATGTCGGGTGCCCGGCGCGGGCCCGGACGTTCTGGAGGCGCGCCAGAAGGTCATGCGGCGATAAAGTAGCGACGGGGTCGTCGCCGCGGGGGCAACTGGGCGGTGGGACCGCCTGGGCAGTGCACGCGCTCTGGAGGAGTGCGGTGAAAAACTCACTGGGGCAATGCCAGGGATCGGCCTGCTTCACCCGCTGCCGCTTGAGAAGTCACGCCACATGGCGGTCTGGAGCTGCCCAAGCTGAGCGCGGCGGTCAGCAACAAGAGCCCTGTCTCGGCGCAGTGCTGGCGACGCGGCTGACGGAGCTCGCGGGCCCGGCGGGAGCGCCCGGGGAGCGGGCCTGCGACCGCGGGCGCCAGGCTCGCGAGCCAAGCGATCGTCCAGGCAACGGGAACGCCTCGCCGGCTCCGCCCCCCGCCGGGGGCCCGCTCCGCTGCCTGCGCTTGGGCCGCTGGCTGCGGTGGGGCCTGGGGGGAGGATCCGCCCCGACGACCTGACCAGAGGCGGGATCCACTCCGGCAGGGTCGACCTTGATGGTGCGCGCTGGACAGCAGCGTCTCCAAGAACACACACGCACACTTTTCGAGCCGGCGGCGCAGAGGGTCCTCCAGAGCGGCGCGGGCAGCAGCTGGAAGTGCTAACGGCGATCGAGCATCGTCGAAGGCACAGTGCACGAAGCGTCGCACACTGAAGAATGCAGCGATGGGTGAGAGTCCAAACGAACCGTGCAGCGGCCAGAAAACCGAGGAGGCTACTCAACTCGAAATAAACTGAAGCGCAAGCAGTCTGGTGTGAATTGGCGGCCACTGAATCACCGAAGAGCGGTGTTAGACAATGAGGTGCAACAAAAAGCCGTAACAGCTGCCAGACCAGGTGGCCGACTCCAGAAGTCGTCAAAGGTCGCGTGTCTGGCCTCCAGAGGCCCAGAAGGGGCCAGAAACGCCCAGAAATCTCGACGATTGATTCTCCCAGACCCTCGAACCTCGATCCCCGAGGAGGCGGAGGAGGAGAGGAGCGCTAAAGGGATACGAGTGGGGAATGCGCAGAGAAGCTGGAAGAGTGGCAGCTGAAAATTCCATGACAATGGAAGCGTCCGGGGCTGGAAAAAACTGACGGGGGCCGAAACGAGCCCGAAAAGGTTGGAACGAGGTCGTCGGGGCTGGAAAAAACGAGGGGGGACTGGCCAGGGCTGGAAAGAGTGGGAGTTCTGGTCCAGGCCACCTTTTCCAGCTTCCCTGTAAGGAGGGCCACGAGCGTCGCGCAGCGGCGGGCTCCTTCCCAGCGGCCTGTTGCACAGATCCTCGCAGGGCCTGGGGCCACTGCAAGAGAGGCAGCTCGGAATCCATATGCGTCCTGCCTCCTCCTTTTCCTCCCCCATTCCCTTTCCTTATCCATAACCCCTCCCTGTCGCACCCCGAGGCCAGTCGGAAGGGCGGGCCGGACGTTTTGCCTGAGACTTCCTTACCACTCAGGATCCTCATGCGTAAAATTGGCGACAACTTCACGGATTGAGGGCGGGCGGTTTTCAAAATGTGGCTCCCGCCCTAGCGCCGCACATATTCGTCTTGACAATTTGCAAGAATTTCACGGATTGAGGGCGGGCGGTTTTCAAAATGTGGCTCCCGCCCTAGCGCCGCACACCTTCGTCTTGACAGTTTACAAGAGCTTCACGGATTGAGGGCGGGCCGATTTAAAAAATGTGGCTCGCGCCTTAGCGCCTCGCAGACTCGTCTTCCAAATCTGCAAGAGCTTCACGGATTGAGGGCGGGCCGTTTTCAAAATGTGGCTCGCGCCTCAGCACCGCGCACACTCGTCTTACAAATTGCAAGAAGTTCATGGATGTATGGCGTCCTTCTCACACTTGTGATCTCGCTTTAGCGTCGCGCACATTCGTATGAAACATGTGCAAGAGCTTCACGGATTTCCATGGTCAACGTGCCAGAAACCGCTTGTTGGAACGATTCAGGACTGTCAGGGGGGCACCGTTATGTGAATTTGCGGTGTTGACGCCCCAAGAATGTTCTGACACGGCTCAGGATCGTCAAGACGCGACAATGAAGTTGATTCGTGGCGCTGGGGTCCCGAGAATAGTGCTTTGGCGCGCTTAGCGGGTCTCCCAACGGGTTCTTCCCTCAGTGGAAATGAACCCCTGTATGGTGCGCAAGAAGAGGGAGCCTGGAGGGAGGGTTCATTCCAACGTCGTTGCGTTGACGAGTCTTGGGTTTACACTGGTCCTCCTCCCCCTCCTCCTCCTCCTCCTCATCCTCATCCTCCTCCTTCCCATGATCCCGTACCCTTCATCCTCTTCCTCCTCCTCCTCCTCCTCCTCCTCCTCCTCCTCCTCCTCCTCATCATCATCATCATCATCATCATCATCATCATCATCATCATCATCATCATCATCATCATCATCATCATCATCATCATCATCAGCATCATCATCATCATCCTCAGCATCATCATCCTCATCATCAACAGCAGCATCATCTTCACCATCATCATCAGCAGCAGCAACAGCATCAGTATCGTCGTCATCATAAGCAGCAGCAACATCATCAGCATCATCAGCATCAGCAGCATCATCACCATGACCATCATCATCGTCGTCGTCATCATCAGCCGCAGCATCATCATCATCAGCATCATCAGCACCATCAGCATCAACATAATCATCATAATCATCATCATGCTCATCATCCTCATCATCATCAACATCATCATCATAATCAGCATCAGCATCAGCATCAGCATCATCATCATCGTCATCATCATCATCAGCAGCATCATCAACAACATCAGAATCCTCATCATCAGCACCATCATCATCGCCAGCATCAGCATCATCATCATCATCAGCAACCTCATCATCATTATCATCCTCGTCCTCCTCCTCCGCCTCCTCCTCCGTCTCCTCCTCCTCCTCATCCTTCTCCTCCTCCTCCTCCTCTTCATTGTCAACCTCCTCCTCCTCCTCCTCCGCCATTTGCTCCTCCCCTTCTTATCATCGTCCTCATCCTCATCATCCCCCCTCCTCCTCCTCCTCCTTCTCCTCCTCCTCCGCCTCTTCCTCCTCCTCCTCCCCCTCCTCCTCCTCCTCCTCCTCCGCCTCCCCCTTCTCCTCCTCCTCCTCCTCCTCCTCCTCCTCCTCCTCCTCACCCCCCTCTTTCCACTGTCTTTTCCTCGCAGAGGAGGAGGAGGAAGAGGAGGAAGGAAGGTCTCGAAGATTCTGGCGGGCTCCAGGCGGGTCTAGAAAGTCTATTCCCATTATTCCCCTCACAGATTCGTCCTCCTCCTCCTTCTCCTCCTCGTCCTCTTCCGTCTTCTCCTAAGCAGAGGTGCTGGCTGTCACGAGGTATGCGTATGGCACAGACAGACTGTCGACTACGGCACGTGTGCCAGGCTCATCTTCAGAAGGCTGGCTTCTCCGACCTTGACGAGCATAGACTTCCAAGGATGGGTGAGCCCATGAGCCACAATCGTCATCCACAGGCTTACGCCTACGCTCAGGTGCGTCAGCGCTACTCTAGAATTACCCACATCCCGTACCCTCCCCCACTGATCCTCTTCCCTATCCCCCTTCACTTTCTCGTCAATACCCTCCCCCTTCCCTCCTCGTCCATTCCCCTCTCATCCCCTCGTCTCTCCATTCCTGGGCTCATCCTCCTCATCCTCCTCCTCCTCCTCGTCCTCCTCCTCCTCCTCCTCCTGATCTTCCTCCTCCTCCTCCTCCTCCTCCACCCCATCCCACACCTCCTCGCAGTGGGGAAATCAAGCAGTAGGTGAGGCACGGGGAGGAGGAATTCTGAAGGAGAACCAACGGGAAGCATGAAAGAGGCCAAGCCGGGGAGGGACTCGGCATAGTCGACTAACTACATCGGAAAATCTGCGGACAAGTGCAAAGAAACACTCCATAACGGCAACGTCGACGAAGCAACGACGGCACGGTGCATGGTCTGAATGCACCATTAGTTTGGCGGCAATGTGTTATCGCGTGCTCCTCTCGGAATGAAGCTGGGTGTCAAGTGCCCGTGGAGAAGCAGAAGCACGAGAGGGCGCACTTTTATGTACGGTCCGCTGCAGAGCGCTCAAGGCACTACTGCAAAGCTAGATGCGCTATCGTGCCGCTAGGCAGTGAGTAGAGTGCCCTCAGGTCCCTTCGAGGCATCTGCATCGAAGTTTGTGATGCAGTCTTTAAAGGGCCCCCGGGCGTGCCGCATAACTTTTGGGCCCCCCCGCGTGACTTCTCCTGGCTGGGACTCTAAACTTCCAACACGGCACGAGATGGTCTCCGGGAACGCCCGGGACCCCTTTTGAGAACACACTGCGTCGTCTTGCAGGCCGTGGAGGCCGGCCTCAAGAGGCAAACCTCACCGAAGTGCCTTCCGCTGTGGACGGACATATCCCTGACACAACTTGTTTGTGAGGGTCCTATATATATATATGTGTGTAGATTGGTTCTACGACCAGATGTGGGGTCCTCTGGATCCCGCATCGGTGGCTCGGTGGACCAGGCCCGTGGTCTCCCACACGGTCGCCGGCATGATCTCGCGCAGAGTCCACCGCCGTATGGTCTCCCGCCTGGGCTCCCGCAGGGTGCCCGCAGGGTCACCCGCATGGTCTCTCGTATAGTCTCCCCCTTATGGTCTCCCGTATGGCCTCTCCCGCATGGTCTCCCGCATGGTATCGTTGATGGTCTCGCTTGCGGTCTCCCTGCTGGTCTCCCTCACGGTCGTCCTGATCATCTCCCTCGTGGTCTTCCTCACGGTATCCTTTCCTGAGGAGTCGCCACGCCCCAAGGCGGCCCCCGAGGGCACCAAGAGGGCCCAAGAGGCCCGCAAGATGGCCCCAAGAGAGCCCCAAAGGGGAGAACTCGAACTGACACTTCGAGCCCCCCACCCCAGCATGGCCTCTGAGATCGCCTGGAGGCCCCCAAGGAGGCCCCGAAGGAGGTCCCCAAGAGGCCCCAAGAAGCACCAAAGGGGGCCCAGGAAGCCCCGAGGGGGCCCCGAACCGGCCTCTTCAAGTGGCGCCCCAGGAGACCCCCAGAGAGAGATCGAAGAGGCCTCCTGCCCAAACACGGGCACGGTGGCGGGGTTAGGCCGAAGGCTTCTTTGCACCAAGGGTATCCGCAGGATGTCTCAATAGATGCTGTCTTTCAAATTCTCAGAAATTGTCGTGACATTCAGCGCCCTCGCGCTGGTTCAGAACGACTGGGGCATCTGCCGCCCCCTGTGGTCTTGCCAGAGGGCGCTTGGCGTGCTGAGCCTCAGGTGGCTGCTGGTTCTCTTCAAACCTCCCCCTGGAGCTTCGGCTGGGGCCGCGGCCACCCGGGAAGCCGCGCCGAAGATCCGCCTCTCGTGGCTCAAGTCGCCTCCAAGACGGCCCGGGTGGGCCAGACCATGGCCTCCGAGATGCCTCCAAGACGCCTCTGAGACGGCCGAGGCGGCTCCAGGAGAGCCCCAGAGGGCTCCCAGATGCACCCAGGACAGCCCAAGAGGCACCCAGGACGGCCCAAGATGGCTCCAAGACGGCTCAGGACGACTCGAGTCCCCCAAGAGGCCTCCAAGACGGCCCAAGAGGCCTCCGAAGGCCCTCCAGAGAGGCCCGAAAAGGCCAAACTGATTGATTTCACATTGGGTTTTGAGAGAGCTTCGCATTTGTTTTTTTGTTCGGTTGGTTGTTCTTCTTGTTGGTCTTTCGAAACGGTCCAAGAGGCCACCCCCAGAGCGCCCAAGAGGCCTCCAAGATGGCCCCAGGACGGCTCCATGACGCCCAAGAAGGCCTTCAAAACGACCCTGAAGCGCCCCAGGACGGCCCCAAGACGACCCACAGTGGCCCCCGAGACGGCTCCCGACGGCGTCAGACGGGCCAGGAACGCCCTAAGACAGCCAAAGAGGCCCTCAAGAAGGCCCCAAAGGCCCCAAAGAGACCCAAGGAGACCCCCGAGGCCTCCAAGAGGCCACTCAAAGAGTGCCCAAAGAGGCTCCCATGAGACAGCCTCCTTCTTCCTCCCTCTCCTCATCTTCGTTCCCCACGTTTTCACCGAAGGGTTTCCACAACGGCTGGTGGAACACATAGTCCGATAGCTTAGCCGAGCTCTAGCCGCGACGTTCGGCCACAGAGGCGCTTTCAAAAAGGCAGGGGGGGTCGGTGATTCGCTGGAGGCGTCTTCGATCCTAACTTGGTCCGCACAAGCAAGGCAGCCCACGACTAATTTCACGAAACAGAGTAGGATGGCTGTAAAGGACAACGAAAAGGCACAGCACGACAAAGGAGGTGGAGAAATGAATCGTGGGAAGATGAAGAGTGCACGAGAAGAACAGACGACTGTAAGAGTGGGCGAGCTCATGAGAATGAGAAGGATGGGCTTGGAGAGGATGATGCGCACCGCTGGGCTGGTGGACTCTCAGGACCGACACGCACTGAAGAGTGGCACGAAGCTAGCGGAAGTCGATATCAAGGTACAGTGGGGAATGGCAACAAGGTACCGGGTTGAGGCACGCAAAGGAGGTGGCAGGTGCTTGCAGCTGATCTGGCCACAGAGCTTCGCCAGCCCGTTGCACGCTGTGCACGGCAGGTTGATGATTTCCTGATCGCCGTTGCTCTCATCATGCGGAGCCAGACGGAGCCTGGATGTGCAGGCTGCACACACCACGAAGAGGTGCTCATTAAGACCTTCGCTGAAGCGAACACGCACGTCTCCAGAAGGTTGCAGGTAAAAGTGATTGGGGAAATGATGATAGAACTGGTCGAACTTGGCTAAGAGCAAAATGCACACGTCCGCCAAGCCTCAAAATGATGGTGTTGCAAGATATCACGAAAATCAAACGAATCCCCTCAAGGCGGCTTCTCCCGCCGCCCTCCAAGGATGGCAGGCAGTTGACTGGTGGCGCGACAGAGCGAGATCGAGAGCGTCCTTGCTGCAGTTGAACAAATGGATCATGGCGGAAACGCCCGCAACAAATAAAAAACAGTTCGAGCCCAACCGGCTGAAGGCAGCCAGTCGCAGCTACAGGCAAGAAGACATGTCACAAACTAGTACTCACGTTTCCTTCAACATGCACAAGATGATAAGCATGACTGCTAGTGCGAAATGCCCCTCGAACTGGCGCACGATCCTTTCATGCTAAACCCCCTGATGCAGGTCAGAACGGGATCCGGCAAAGCTGAAAACGATGGAAAGCACCGGCTGAGTTAGTCCACGTCGACAAGGACGATTGCATCGAGGCCCAAGTGGTAAGAAGCTCGTCTCCTGCAGATACAGACACGATTAGGTTGACCAAGCACATGTCCTAGACTGGCCGTTAAAAAGCTTCGCACGAAACATCAAGGGCAACACATCCGATTGAAACATGATAAAAGATCACGGCCGATCTCCAACCCCTTCGTCAAAATGCAAGAGCCAGTTGCGCAGCTTTCAAACACTTTGATTGGCCTGCGCCATCGCTGCATCGCGGCAGCCGACACCCAGCGGTCTAGGCAACATCTTCTTAAGTGGACCCAAGACTGTTTGCCAGTTTCTACCCTGGTCTTTCCACTGTGAGGTAACCTACATAGAAGTTGAGATAGGTCTACCAGGTAGCGGACGATAGTGGTTACTTCAACCAGACATACATCACTGGAACTTACATCGTATCGAAACCAAAAACACGTTGTCCAACCCTGAAATGCAAACACGATGCGATGCATCTGCCACAGTTGCCAGCGTCCTGGCGGCGGTAGGTGAGTGTCAGGCCTGTGCGTTTCCACTGATCTCGCTTCTTGCGAAGCCACTGGGGCCCCCGAAGCATCGAGCACGACATGGTTTCCTTGTTGACCCAATCCCAGTCTCTTGTCTGCCCTCCGATGAGAAAATCGCATCGACATGAAGAAACTCCAGTAGGAGCTTCTGTGGCACCTCCAGCAAAGTTTGATTCGCAGTTCGACCCTGCCAAATCGAAGGTACCCTTGCGCCGCGCGCTTCGCGACGCACGTCTTCCGCCTTCTTGCGGCAGTGTGGCCCTCGGAAGGGTCGTGCATCCTCTGCCGTGCCCTCTCAAACCAAGCTCGACTGTACGCCCCCGAGCCCCCCCTCGGCGGTGGACAAACCTCCCTTTAGCAAACCTCCCTTTAGTGAAAACGGCCTGGGACCGAAACCGACGGACCTGGACCCGCAAAAATGACGGCCGCGACGTCCTCTCGCGAACCCGAAAGCGGCCAATTCGCTAATCGACGTGTCAGGGTAGGAGGTCTGTCCAGCCACGACCCCCCCCCCTCTATCGCTCTGGGGCGCCCCCGCACCCCGCCCCCCTCCCCGCCCCCGCACCCCCACCCTGGCTCAAGCCCCGCCCCTCCGCACGCCTGCTCGAGCGCGGAGACGCCTTCGCGCGGCAGCACGGCTGGACTGCTGCAAGGCCGCACCCCCACGAGGGGGGAGCTCCAGAGGCACCGACTCCCCGGTGTTAAGGCCCAGAAAAGCG